ACCTGTAACACATTCACACACCACACACGCACACACATGCCCACGTACATGTAACGCATTCATACACTCAACTCAGTATGTACCACACACGCACACACACCTCACATTACAGACATAATGTTCACACACGTAACACATACATACTCATACACAGACACCTCACACATCTTACATTAGACATAACAAATCCACACCCATATTACATACATAATACATTTACATACACATAACACACAGTTTTACATACACATAATACATTTACATACACATAACACACAGTTTTACATACACATAATACATTTACATACACATAACACACAGTTTTACATACGCATAATACGTACACCCACCACACACATTCTCACACATACACATCCATACCCCATTCACATACCACACACACTCCCCTCTGCACACACGCTGCCCAGCCGCCGGCTCTCCTTCCTCTCCCTCTTCTCACATTTAGAATCAGCTTCCCTCCAGAGTCTGTCTGGCTCCCTTGGTTTTCACGCTCTGTCTTCATTTGCCTCCCACCCTCCCAACCCCAAACCCTCCTGTAGGACTCCAGTCGGGCTGGCCTCTCAGCCTTGGCACTGACATTTGGGGCCGGCCTGTGTGTTATAGGGTGTTGAACAACACCCCTGACCCCCACCCACTCAATGTCATTATCACTCTCCCCCCGCCACCCCAGACATGGCTAAAGTCCACTGGGAGGCAAAATCACACCTGTCCACAGGGGCTTGTCAGAAGCGTGCAGGACAGAAGGTGGGAGACAGGGAGTGGGCCCTTTGGGTGGTGGGTATTGGGGAGATCCGGAAGGGGATAGTCCAGAATGACTCTGCATTGAGAATCCCATATGCACTGTCTCCAGGGTCTCGCTCAATCTCTGGCAGCGTTCCGGAAAGCGTGTGTGTCCTCCATCCCCCGTGGGTTGGGCGTGAGACCCTGGCGGTGGCATCTGTGACTCCTCAGATCCAGGCCCAGACCACCTTCCCCTGGAAGTCATGTCTGCCAAGCTCCTTGGATGAAACGGAATCAGGAACAGACTGCCTCGCTGAGCCCCTGCCCCGGTGACGAGGCCTCGCTTTTGACACAGAAGCCCAGGTGGCAGCAGGTCAGAGAGAGGGTGTCAGGGTCGAGCAGAGGAGACAAGACCTGCAGTGGAAGGACCAGCATCGTCAGCACCTGGTCACCCAGTGCCGGGCCAAGTGATAGGAGATCCAGAAGCAGCAGGTCAGGGGTCTGGAGCGGGAGTACTTAACACATCTGCTGGGCGTGGTGGGCGGGTGAGCTTAGGAGAGAGAGCCAGCGGCCTCAAAGGAGCCTGTCCAGAGAGCAGCCCCCAGGCAGCAGAGGACCAAGGAGAAACCCCGAGCAGAAGATGAGCAGCAGACAGAGGCCAGACAGACAGTCGGTGTGGTACACCAACTCAAGGAAGAAGACTTCAGGCACAGAAAAGCCAGGTGCCTCCAACGTCACAGGGGTGACCCAGCCTCCCTCCAGCCCCACTGAGAAGAGAAGAGGCAAGCAAAGGCCCTCCGTGAAGACCAGCGGAGAGCATCGGCACCTGGACATCCAGGGAAGCAGAGGGTCGGATGCAGACAAGCTGTGTCCATGTCCTAATGAGACCAAGCACTTAGAGGAGAGAGGGAAGGACGTAGCTGGGGACAAGACGAGACAGCAGGATAAGGAGGCTTTTCCTCAAGACGGGAAACACACCTGTCTGGATTCGAATCCAGATGGCAGACAGAAAGAGCAGAAACAGTTGTGGGCGGCTGGCTCCACCTCTAGGAAGGGGGTTATGTTAATGTCCCCCCCAGGCAAGTGTGGGGACGTGAAAAAGTGCCACAGGGAGTTAGCATTTGCCTTTGAAGAGTTGTTTGAAAGGAACCAAAAGCTGAGAAACCAGCAGAGTTTGCACTTTGAGTTGAGGCCCAGGAAGGGACAGAGTAGCACAGAGACATCAGAGACCCAAAGAGAGAAGACCCGTCAGGCAGAGACAACGTCATACAGGACACCCAGGGACCCCGTGGACGGCCACCAGACACCTTCCAAAGTCAACTTGAAGAAATTACTAGACAAGATTGAGACCCAAAAATATAGGTTGGCTAAGTGCACATTTGACAAGAAAGACAAAATGTCTAAAGTTATTGTTAAGCACAAAGGTCAAGCCCTGTCTCCCGAGGCAGAAATCTCTGTCAATGGGGAGAACCTAATCTTGTGCAGCCCTGAGTCTGAAAAAGAGCCCTCCGAAACCAGCTCACTGGCAAAGGGCAGTGGTCAGCTGAACCCTCGAGAACAAGCCGATGGAGTGGGCAGGAGGGAGGCAAAGCAGATGTCCACCCTAGAGATGGCGCCCATGAGACGAAAGCAGCTGGGATTGCTGGAGTACAAGAAGCACCCGAAGGTGAAGGAAATCCTCCATGGCACCCAGGCAGAGGGCAAGAAAGCCCACTCAAAGCCTTCCACAGCGCTTGTCCAGGGGCAGGAGGGAGGGCAAGAGTCCAGCACCACTTCCGTCTCTGGCGTCAGCAACGTTCTCGATGGCAGGCACAGTCAGATGATACTGGACCTTCATCAGCAAATTCTAGAGCAAAACAAAATACATAAACAGTTTCTCGAAGAAGTCAGGAAGCGCTCGCAAGAGTTTCAGAAGATATGCTAGCCACGAAGTGACCCCCCCACCCTCAACGAATACATAACCATAACTGGTGCTGTGTCAAAACTGCTGTGGTCTGTGAGGTCTGTGTGTGTCGTCTCCTCAGGGAACGCTGGGCCCCCCGTTATGTGGGGCCATCCAGCATCCTCGTATAGCGCCCTGGGGTGCAGCGGTTACAGTACTCAGTGGCTAACTGAAACCCACCAGCCACTCTGAGGAAGAAAGATGTGGCATTGTACGTCCCTAAAGATGAGATGACAGCCTGAGAAACCCTTGGGGGCAGTTGTACCCAGTCCTATAGGGTTGATGGTGATAGGACAGGTTTGGATCCTGTTACCGCTGGGTTTCTGGATGGTACAAACGGTTAAGTGCTCAGCTACTCCTAGTCAAAAGGTTGATGGTTCAAACACACTCAGAGATGCCTTGGAAGAAGGAGCTGGTCACGTGCCTTGGAAACCCTCTGGTGCGCCATTCTGCTCTGCACACACATGGAATCACCATGAATCAGAGCTGAGTCTGGGTTTGGGGTTGCTATCTTACCATGCTTTGGGGCAAGTTTGAAGTAGTGTGTACATTTTCTAATCCTGGCTGTTTGGGGAAGCCCCTTAGCACATTGGGTGGAAGCCCACATGGGGTCTAGGAAGTTGGGTGAGTATCAGTGTAACAAATATGTTCCGCCCAGAGTGAAGGCTGGTTTCGTAAACCACAAGCATAGATAGAAACTCCAGGTAAATTCAGCACACTCCAGATGTCCTGGGGCATCTAAGGTCAGATGGGCACAGTTTCTAAAGAGACATCATTTGGTGCTTCGCCGCTGACTGAGATATTTGCAGAGATTGAACTAAACCCCTCTTTGTCTTTCAAACCTACAACAGCAGCATCACTTTTAAGAGCACATCCTAGAAAACTAGAGTCCCTCATTGGCACAGATAGTTAAAAGGTTGAAACCCCCCACCCCCCCACCATGGGTGCCTCAGAAGAAAAGTTTGGCCAGCAGCTTCCAAAAAGGTCACAGCCTTGAAAACCCTATGTTGTTGTCGTAACGTGCCGTGGACTCTGTTCCGACTCACAGCGACCCTGTACAGGGTTTCCGAGGCTGTAAATCTTTACGGGAGCAGAAAGCCTCATCTTTCTCCCGCACAACAGTTGGTAGTTTCGAACTGCTGACCCTGAGGTTCGCAGCCTGATTCGTAACTGCTACGCTACCAGAGCTCCTTCTACTCTGCACACACGGGGTCACCCTGAGTCAGAATCCACTCAATGACAACAACAACAACAATTTTAATTCTCACCCTTCTGGGTGACTTCCTGTGGGGCTGGGAATTGGAGGGGATGGACCTAAGTGCATGTTGAGCGTCTCATCCCCAGTTTCACCGACACAGCCATGGAAAGCTCACATTGGGTAGGTTTCTATCTGCCAATTACATGTGTAGAGAGACCAGGGCATTTCCAGTAGAGACTAGGACCAGCCATACAATCTACAATTTAGCCCTCCCTCGGAGCTCCAAAGCAGCCATAGGCAACTCCTGGATGAATGGGCGTGACTGGGTGCCAATAAAACTTTATTTACAAAAGCAAGTGATGCATTGGATTTGGCCCACCGGTTTGCTGAGCCTACTTCTCTGCTGGCCTCTTCCTTCCTCCCTTCTTTTCCTCTCTTCCTTTCTCCCTTTTTCTCTCCCTCCTTCCCTTCCAAGGACCTCAGATGCATTGATTTGTAACCACCATCTTTGTTGTTGCTACTCTTAGAGTCCCCGTGTGGTGCAAATAGTAAAAGTACATGGCTGCAAACCCAAAGGTGGGAGGTTCAAATCCACCCAGAGGCAACGCAGAAGAAAAGCCTGGTGATCTGTTTCTGAACACTCAGCCATTGAAAACTCTACAAAGCATTGTGCTCTGACACACACGGGTTCACATGAGTCAGAATCAACAGACAACTGGTTATACATACTTTGTAGCAGATACAATGACCAGTTGTGAGCTCACCACCCAAACCCAAACCCAAGGTCTGGAAAGATCTGCTGCCAACCTATGTGCTACTTCCCTGCCCCACACCGCGGCCGCCTCCTCACATAGGACACAGTATCCCTGCTCAACCTGGGCCTTAGCACTGCCTTTTATCATATTTATGTATGCCAAACACTATATTCTTCAGTTTTGCTTGATTTTGAGCTTTATAAAAAGGATATCTATCCTATTACGTGTTGCCTTTTGGAAACTTTTTTGGGGTGGGGAGCACTCAACATAGTTCCTGACACTTGTCCATATTATATGTGAGTATCATTGGCTTGTTTCCCACAACATTGTAACGTGTGACTATCAAGAGTTTTGTTTCCAGGACTGTGGCTTATCTGCTCTGTGCCTGTTCCCTCCCAAAAAGAAAGCTATTTCTGTCACAAATGAGTCAATTCTTGGGGAGCCCTACACACACCTGGGACGCAGGTGTGGGATGTAGGCTTGAAAACGTTTCCCAGTCCTCCTCCACATGTTCATCTTTTTTCATTGTAAGAGGTTGAGCTGATCTTATAACAACAAATTTCATTCAACAAACACTCACTGAAAAACTTATGTGCTCCAGGTAACTGATGGAGCAAAACACCTAAGTCATGGGATGTTATAGAATGAATTGTGTCTTGTAAAACTGTGTTGTGAACCCTAACCCCTGTATCTGTGGCTGGAGTCCCCTTGTGGTACTGTAGGATAAGCAGTGGACTGTCACAAGATTGGTTGTTCAAACCCACCAGCCGCTCTTCAAAACCCAGCATAGGGCTGCTCTGTGTTGGAATCCACTCGAAGACACACAACAACAACATACCTATAGTTGGAGAGCACGGTGACTCCATAGTGTAAGCACTGGATTGTGAACCACAAAGTTTATAGTTTGAGCCCACCAGCTACTCATGGGAGAATGATGAGGCTTTTTGATCCTGCGGAGATTTAAAGCATCATCAGCCCTGTAATGGAGTCCTGGTGTGGCACTGTAGGATAATGCACTGGGCCACAAAGTCAGTTTGAACTGCAAGATTGGTGGTTCAAACCCACCCGCTGTGCCTCGAAAACACTATACAGGATCGCTGTGAGTCAGAACCGACGCAATGGCACTTAACAACAACAACAAAACCCTATACGTGGTCACTGTGAGTCAAAACTATCTGGAGGTCACTTAACAACACATGATTATGATCCCTTTTAGAAACGGGTGTTCCTGGTTGAGGCAGCATAGAGGTGTCTTAAATCAATCTCTTGAGATTTAAATAGTAGATTCAACAAGCAAGCACAAATGGAAAAATGTTGAGTGTCATTGAATTTCTAAGGAGCAGCTGGTGGCTTTGAACCACCAACCTTGCAATCAGCAGTCCAGTTCATATCCAACAGTGCCACACCAGGAAGACAGCAGACATATTTAATCACCAAGGAACCTAGGATAGAAGCTGAAAAAAATACGGATCTTTTCCCAGAGTGGACAGAGAGCCATTCCCCTATTTCAACTTCCAACTTCTAAAACTGTGAGAAAATACATTTCTGTTTCTTACAGCCCCCCACTTGTGGTATTTCTATGAGAGTAGCACTGGAGGAAAAAAAGACACCAGACAGTAACAAGTGTTGATGAGGAGATGGAGAAACCAGAGCCCTCATACATTGCTGAGTGTGCAAATGCCTCAGGAAAAAAGGGCTTGGCAGCTTCTTAAAATGTTCAACAAGATTTATTTAGGCTTTTCCTAAATTCTACTCCTAAATATGTACCCAAGAGACTTGAAAAGGTTATGTCCACACAGAGACTTATACACAGATAATAACTAAGTATCTTCGGGTCTTAGCGCTATAGTGAAATCAGTAGCACAAGCCAGGGATTCTAAAGAGCAGACATTTGTTTTGCTGATGGTTCAGGAGGCTAGAAGTGGGAATGCAAAGTGTGGTTTGTAGGGGCAGCCCTCCCTTGTCTATTTCAGCTTCTAGTCGTCAACAGGCAATTCTGGGTATCTGGAGTTGTAGACACCTCTGCCTGCCATCAGACACCGTATCCCCCTCCCCACTTCCCCATGTGTGCATACCTGTTCCTCTAACGTGCCTTCTTGATACTTCAGAACCCATATGAGTAGTCAGAATACAGCCAACAGCACCTGGTTTAATTTTTTTGGTTAACACTCAGCTGTGATGTCTTTGAGGAGCTATGGTAGCACTGTAGCTAAGCGCTTGGCTGCAAACCGAAAGGCGTGGCCATATGCTTCTGTAAAAATTGACAGCTTCTGGGGCAGTTCTCTGTGTACAGGGTCAGAATCCACTCAACAACAATGTGTCTGGATATGATGATCTAATTAACATAACCAGAAAACCCCTCTTCCCATGAGAGTCCCTTCCACAGGTTGGGACTCCACCAGATATTTGGGGAAAGGCACAATTTGGTCCACAACACTAAGATATTGAGTGCCAGGCAGTGGCAGGTGGAAGTGCAAGGTCACTGTCCCCGCTTGCATGTCCCCGGGAAGCCCAACACCCATTGAACACTGTGCTCCTTTTTCAGGGGAGGGGGACAAGATTCATAAGTGCTTGTGTGTCCCAGGTATTCACAGCTTAGGTACGGAGCCTTCTGCCACCAAACATTTTTGTCACATGGGTAGGTGGGTCTCTGTTATCCACATCTGATTTTCTACTTGGGGTTAAGTCCTTAGTATTTTGTCCCAGTCTGCTTTCTGTCATCTGCTTCTGAAACATCACCAAGTTACAGCTGCAAAGCCACCCAACAATTTGATGGAAGCCCAACATGATTAGGAAAGAAATCTTGAGGTCGAGAGGACTGTTGTCATTCCACATGGTGAACCCAGCCCAGTGCCTGGTATCCAGGTGGGGCACACCACTGCAGGACACAAGAGATCACCTGACATGCTTCTGTCTGTCACTGAGCCACCACCGGGGTTGGAGAGGGCGTTGTGAGCTTCACTGGGTCTGAAGCCGTGTCCACAGTGGGACCGAGACGTTAGGTGAGTGAGGTCTCCCTGACTCCACCG